AGGGGCTTCCTAGTTTCAGAGCCAATTTCAACTTCACAGCGAAGGATATTGGACTCAAGACAATACAAGCTCAACTTCACAACGAAGGGGCGACTGGCTGTTAACAAACAATTTCCCAATTCCAGAGCCAATTTCAACTTCACGGTGGAGGATATTGAACTCGAAACAATACAGCCTACTTGGATTTCAACTTCACGATGAAGGATATCCAATTACCAGGCTCAACTTCACGACGAAAGGGCCACCCGCAGTTTCAACTTTACGACGAAGGGAATCATGCACACAAGCAACATCCTGCTCTAGATTGGATTTCAACTTCACGACGAAGGATATCCAACTCAAATAATGAGTGTCTGTCAATAAACTTTCAAATTTTAGAGTCAATTTCAACTTCACAACGAAGGATATTGGCCTCGAAACAACGCAACTTACATTGGATTTCAACTTCACGACGAAGGATATCAAACTCCAAGGTTCAACTTCACGACGAGGGGACCATTCTAACTTCACAAATAGATTGACCCAACTTCACGAATAGATTGACCCAACTTCACGATGAATGAGTCATCTGTAACACAACAACACCAAAGTCTTCCGGTCAAGTTTCACCTTCACGATGAAGTATCTTGAGCCAGAAGACGATCCAAGAGCTACTAGTCAAAGCTCTGAGTTCGATTTCAACTTCACAACCAAGGATTTCATGCTCAGGATCTTCCAGTTCAACTCAACCTCGCAATGAGGGAGTCATTTCGTGCTTCAGTCCAAATTGACAAACCAGTTTTAGTGTCGGATTTCAACTATGCAACAGAGGATATTCGATGGGGGTTGACCCCTATATGGATGATGTTAAATTTGGATTAAAACGGAAAGTGTGTCTTTTAATCTTTGCCCTATCCCCGTTACATGACTATGAGCAAAGAGGGGCAGCTGTAGACACACTTTTTTTGAAATATACATATATATTTTTATATATTATATATATGTATTATTATTTTATTAACCAAAATTGTTACATGTTACAGACCCAACACTACAAGCCCAGTAACAAGCAACCCATTTACAACTCAAGGGGCCCAACATGCGAACCAGCCCCACGGTCCAAGCTCTAGGGATTTCCAGGAACCCTAGCGTCGCACGCCCCATCTCATCCAGTTCCGTAGTGCCCGCAACCAACAAGCCTACAACAGTCTGATTTCTCCGGCGAGTCCACGCAAGCCAACAGCCAACAACCACATCATTAGCATTTTATTTTGAATCAAACTCCTAAAATAAGAGTTATTTTCTACTATAAAACCATGTAATTAGAACACAATCACACATAAGTTTGTACACGATACAAGAGAAATCACAACAAACTGCAAATACTCAAAGCATTTGTAGCGATTCGGAAGCAATGAAAGGTAGTTTTTTTTACCTTGTTCATTCTTTCTTCCCTTGCATGTTGTGTTTTTGCGATTTGATTCGGAAGTCCCAGGGAAGCGCTAAAACGGTCGATGAACGGGACAGTTTTTTAAAGATCTATTTTGTTAGATCTAGTTATCTCGAGGCCTGATTTTAGAAAATTATATGGTTTTTTTTAAAAGTAAAGAAGAAAAGCTTCGAAAAAGATTAAAAAAAACGATTTTGCCGCTGATGACCGGCGGCCATCGCCGATCAACGGCGACGGCGAGGCGGCGTGGGGGCGGTCGATGGCCATTTTCTTGAAATCAGGGCTGGTGTTCTTCATTTTTGAAAAACAATGAGAGAAAATGAGAGAGGGGGTGCTCTTGGAGTGAGAAGAGAACAACTGAAGAGTTTAAATTTTTTTTATGTTATATACTTAGCCCATGGATTGGACCGATGACCAGCGTGTCGACCCTGACTCGGGAATGATCCGCGTGTTTCATAATTAAAAGGGGTTAATCCCCAATTCGATCCCCTTCATTTTTTTAGAACCTATTTTGACCCCAAATCGAGCTTCCCTTGTAATTTTCATTCGAAATTTAACACCCAACTTTCCTATCTTTTAATTTAGTCCCTTTCCCCTGTAATTGTTTTTCCAAATATTATAGTATATTTAATTACATATCTATATATATTATTAGTATTATTTTCTTTTTCTCTATTATTATTAATGCACATATTTTTTCTTATTAATTATTATTATTATTTTACATTATTTATTTATATATATATGTACGCATATTTTTTATACCTTATTTATATATCTATTATTAATTTATATAGTTTTTAATTATTTTGTTTGGTTATTTCTTTATTTAAGTACTATATCTTATATATATATATATGTGTGTGTGTGTTTTTCTATTATTTTTTCTATTTTCATTTATTATTATTATTATATCATATTATTTTTATTTTTATTTTATTTACTATTTTTTTATTCTTTTTCCTTTATTATTATTATTATTTATATGTTTTTTTATTACTATTATTATATGTATATTATTTATTATTCTGTAAATTTCATTTATCCTATTTTTATCTTCTATTTTTTTGTATTGTTGTTGTTATTATCTTCTTTATTTATGCATTATATATATATATATATATATATATATATATATATATATATATATATATATATATATATATATATATATATATATATATATATCTTATATTTGTTTTTATGTCTCTTTAATTTTTATTTATCTTGCTTACATTTTTTTACCTGTTTTATTTTCTCTACTTTATTGCATTTATTTTTATTTCACATTCTTTATTTTACTAATTTTTACTACCTTTTTATCTAACACAACTTTTGTCTTTTAAGGGGTACATCTTCAATTAATCAGAGGTAAGTAATTTAAGATCAAATTTTACCTTTTAATTTAGAATTACAATTTTCTTAATTAAAGACAACTGGAAATTGCATAGTACCGAAAGGGTAGTTCAAGGGTGCTAATCATTCCTTGACTGTTGAACTGCTAACCCTTCCTTGACTGTAACCGACTCCCGAACCCGACATATCACTGGTAAGATGCAGATCAAGTAAGGAATAAGGTATCCGATCTACCTATTTTTTTTAAAATAAAAGATCGGTGGCGACTCCAATCCATTTTCCTAAGTCGAAGCCCAACTCTGGGGCCTAACCGAAAGACGCTTCCGACAATATCAATTATACTAATTTTGCTTTAAACATTTGCATTCCAATTAAATGATAGTGGTACTATTACTAATAATGATTTTGATGTACATAGGATGTAAAAAATTAATTCGATTTGTTTTACAAATCGATTTAAGTCAAAATTGTTTGTAGATTTGAGGTTGATTTGAACTCAAGTTAGATTTAATAATTCTGGATCTGAACTCAACATGCATTTAGTCTGAGAACGATCTGAACCAGAATTGAACTTGATAATGTCATAGTCAAACCCTACCTGTATTCAATCTAACATGAATCTGAAGCCGAGATTAACTTGATAAATAACTAATATTACTAGACTTTTTATCAACCTAATATGTTATAAACTTGACATGTAATTGACTTAACATGTAAATGATCTTACATTTATTAAACTGATCTGATATTGATCCTACTTGATATTTATATGACTTATAAGTTGCAATTGATGAAATTATGAGATTATGAATGTATGATAATATAGTGTAACAAAATATTTTATTATTATTTAAGATATATAATTAACTATGATCATTACATAAAGCACATCATTAACATCTAAGAGATAAACCCTCGTCGCCTCTCCTTTCTCTCAACCTAATTTTCTTTCAATATTTTTGTGCCATCTTCTTATTCTCTTTGATCTTTGTTTAGCCGGCAGCCATACCAATCTTAATGTTGGTTGCCGGCCATCGGGGAATATTAGTTCTTTTGTTTTTTATATTATGTTTTTTTCTTAAGTCTTTTTAAATTTTAATAAGAATCTATGTCCTTGGGACATGATTTTTCTCTGTTCTTGTGGCACGATCCTCATAGTTTTCGATACGTTTTTTCGCATACCTTTGCGGTCGTTTTTGTTCTCACACAAAAATCATCATGACATTTATTTTCTGATTGGTTAATAGGTAGTCACGCATAGTCAGATCCATTCTTTTGGTAAAAAAGTTGTTTGCCAATGAATTAGAATTGTGTAACGAAACAACCTGTCAGATTATTTGGTTCGCTCTCCACTCCTTTATCACTTCGTCAAGTGTCTCATTCAACAAAGTCAATGAGTTTGTATGAAAGTTATTGGATTTTGATATTAGTCGTAATTTTTAATGGAATATTTTAATTTTCTTCGTATTTTTAGGTTTATTATTTACTTTTGTATGAGTATTTTGATGACTATTGTCTCCAAATTTATCTCTTTATTATGATATGTTGTAATTTTGATTTCTTCCGTTATTAATAAAATTCAGTTATCATTGTTAAAAAACTATGATCCTTACATATTTATTAAATTCATTCAATAAGTTCCGAAAATATTTAAACGTCTTAAAAGGTAAATAAAACGAATGTATATTTACACATACATGTGCTTCCTGTATTATAAGTAGGTACCATTGATTTTTTTTTTTATTTTGTAATAAAAAAGCACTTATTCGGGACTTCTTATTGTGGGCAAACTTTATTTAGACTTGGAGGCTGGAAGATTTTTTGACCGTCAGGTTTTTACTGTTCTACAACAAAAGCCCTCATTAAGACATGGGAGATATTTTTTCACAGGTTTTTACTGATGTACAGCAACCTGCATGCATCATAATTATAAACCCCAACTGCCCCGTCCAAACCATCCACACATTATCGCCATCATAGCTCGACAGGTTTACATTATCGCCATCATAGCTCGACAGGTTTCTGGCAAAATAACACGAATTAAACATCAAACTACTACTACTTTTTACCCCAACAAATCACCCGACCTTTAACATCATCCCCGGTCTATAAATATCCCATGCATTCCTTAAAATTAATTACATAAGAAAGTTGGAATGAAAATTTAGCTTTCTGGGGTTTTAACATTGTTTTTTCCTCGTTCGATGTTCTGAATATGGTCTGCTTTCGTTTCTTGGTGGACCAAAGTCGGAAGCTGATCAGTATTAAGCAAGCAGCCGGGATATGCTCGAGGTGCGGAGGCGGAGCAAGCGTCGGAGATATGATGACAATCAACCGGTTTTGTTATGTCCCGTTTTATTGGAAGTCTTGGAAAGCTATAATTTGCACCTTCTGTGGAGCTATTCTTAAATCTTACATATGAAAGAAGTCGGAGCTGTCTTCTCTGTCGGCTTTTAAGGTATTCTGTAGGCAACTATAACTGAATAACTTTTCTAGTCTTTCTAAAAACCTCAGTTATGAATTTAATCTCGCTATTATTATTTAGTCTTTTACTTATATATTTTCAGTTAAACTATTTTTTGATTGATAATTCGTATCCAAATAGACTCGTCTGGAAGCCAAGTCCAAATGGCTTTGCAATCCTCACCTGATATTCGTATCAAAAATTTTCTATCCCATGAAGTTATGAATTTTTTTTTAATGAAACCGTCTTTCCTTTCAGAAAAAAAAAATCGCATTTGTTCTCACGGTCTGGGGCTGCGAACAAATATATAAAAGAAAAATAATAATAAGCATTTTCTCCAATTAAGTCATTAATATAAATGAGGAATCAACAAAGTACCTTGTTTGAGTCAAATAGAACGGTTGACGTGTCATCTAAATAATTAATGCATGAACATCTTTGGTTGACACTCCATGGACTTCATTTCCTTTCTTCTTCCCCCACATCAAAACAAGACTCTTCATTTAATTGAGTTTAACCGACACACGTATTACCGCTCAAGCATGTATTCATCAAGGAACAGGGAGGACACCTCCTTTGGCGGTGTGGAGAAAGAATGAATCCCATACGGAAGCGACCAAGCCATCTTCACCAAACCATCCACGACCTTGTTATGTTCCCTTGGTACATAAATAAATCTCAGATTCTAATTAAATCGAGTTAGGCGAACAATACGCGACACCAATGACGATACTCGATCCATATCTTCTTCTAAGTGAGCAATCGTAATACGTCTTTGCAATCCATTTCGACCACAATGTTTTGAAGTTCAAGATCCCATAACATTTCAAGTCCCGTAAGAATCCTTCATAACTCCGGATCCAAGACCGAGCAGCTTCCAATGACCTTAGAAAAGTTTGAAACCCAACTCCCATTAACGTCGTGCAAGGCGCCATCGCACGCTGCCAAATCAGTCATATTTCGTGGCGCACCGTCAGTATTTAGCTTGAACCAACCTGTTGGTGGAGACTCCCATTTTAAACATCGCTCGCTCTGGTTAACGCTAACAGTCATCCTCCCCCCATGTAAGCTGTGTGGATTGATCGCTTCATTCGCATGTGTTGCCCTCGCTGAATTTTTCCGTCCATCGTTAGCTCCTTCAATTCGAAAATGAATTTATTACCACCAGTGGTGGATCTAAAAATTTAAGAATGGGTCCAAAATTTTACACAAGCCATAGAAGCAACCGAACTCTCGGCAGTCTTCGATACTTCGAGATCAACTTCCATACGACTGCATCCTCTTCACCAGCGTTACGTAGCTTACGGTGGTACACGCTTCGCATGCTGAACCTCTTAGTTTCAGTCCAAAGCCATATTGGGCGATCTTCACCCCCATCAAAGTGAGGCGGTTTAATTGCCGCGATGGACAAAAGAACATATGGAGGCAGCATATTCCTTAACACATCTCGACGCCAATCACCATTTAAGTCCACCCATTCATGGACAGTAACTTGATCGTCGGGCAGAGGGGAATCTCCAATCCTGTGTAACGCTAAAGGACCAACATCGCCACACCAATTATCGCGCTAAAAATCTTTTGTTTTCTTATTGTGATTTATTTTATGAACATTTTCATATTTTGTTAACTTTTACTTCTTCCATAAACTCTTTTTTAATAATATAAAACGATTATAATGTAAAATTTGTTAATAATTTTTGAATCATTAACGGCGTACACATACAAATAGAATAATCTTTATAAGAAATAACATTCCTTTTAGTCATTAAAATCTTTTAAACGTGTATTCTTGTGTGCACATATATTTTATTGCGTTAGAGTAATCTTTTACGTACCTTATATCTATGTAAAATTACCAAACTAGTAATTTGTATTATTGAAGGCAAAAAACAGGGTATATAAATTTAGTACAAAACAATAATTCGATTAAATATTGTTTCCATTATTCGATCATAGTTGAAGGTACTCGACCGTATCTAATCCTAAACAATGACAGTTTCATATTTTGACAAATATTTTAAGGACAAACAATATTTCCGAAAAAACCTAAAAACGATATTTGACGATATTTTTTAATTTTTATTTTTAAATATTTAAATCTAATTTATCGTATGGAGCATTGGCAAAATATAAAGATGACATCATGAAAAAGATGCAGACAATATGCAAGATTTTCTTTATTTTCAGAAATCGGAAGAAAATTACATCACACTCACACCAATCAAACATAAACCATACTTCAAACTTAGAATTAAAATTTGGTTACCAAAAAAACAGAAGAATTGACAACTTTATTAAATACGATATTCCAAGATCATAATAATATTCTAAGGGCCCGTTCCTTTATGACAATTTCGACGGTAAATCGGGTAGTTAGGAAATTTCCATGGCAATTATATTTTTTATATAAATTTTAAGGAAAATTCTACAACACTGGACGATATCGATGAACACTACTAACGATGAGCACTATTGATTTATTTTATAAAAATTTAAAATTCTAAAGGGCTCAATGTGTAATTATTAATTAGTTAAAAATATAAAGATAAATTATTTAAAATAAAGGGTAAACTATACTAGTGACCACCTAATTACTGCCCTTTTATTCTGACCACCATTTTTAAAATTTCGTAAATCAGGTCACTCATCTATTTAAACTTATTCAATTAAGCCACTTGTTAATATTTAATGGAGAAGCCGACGTGGCAGTTAAAATATTTGATATAATTACACAGTTTGTCACTGTTACTGTAACACCACGAATTTCGGGTTAAGAGTTTCGGGAATATTCAATTTGGACTTTAAAATATTTTCCCCAAACCCATGAAGCTTTAGATCCAAATGGATTTGATTTGGGCTTGTGATGAGCCCAATAAGTGTTAAAAAGGGGTGTTTTTAATCTGGACCCAAATGTGGAGGGACTAAGGGAGTAATTATCCCATTTTTCAAACATAATGTTGATTTCCCATTAAGAAGGATGACTTCATGTCTGAAACACCCCCTTTGATATCTTATTTTCATCACTTCCTTGTCCTCTTCCTATTTCAAACTCTCATTTGCTCTATAATATTCCAAGAAAGGTGAGAACTTTACCTTGTTTCATATTTTGTTCAGCCACACCAAGGTAAGAATATTAATCTCCTCCCTTCAAGCTTTCATTCAAGCTCAAGTTTGCAAGTTTTGGCTTTAGCAACCAAAAATGGGGTTTTTGTGAGGGTTTGTGGTATCTTTAGTTTCAGCTCATTTTGTGAGATTTGAGTTGTAGGGAAATGTTTTGAATATCATCCTAAGGTTTAAAATGAGTTAACAACTCATTTTCATGGTTTTGGATTAGTGCAAGAGAAGGTGAGAGCTCTAAGGCAAGGGGTATGGAAATGCTAACTCTTAGGTGATTCAAGGCATTTTTAGTCACCTAAAATCAATGTAACACGATTTCTAACTTGTTTATACCACACGTAGGCCATGGTATGCACCTTTATGGTTTGTTTTGTTCATGAAATAATGCTAGAGTAATATATAGTAAATTTTGTATTTGTTGGTTGCAAGCATGAAAGTTATTACCTTTTGACCTACCTCTAAGACACTAAATAAGACTTTAAAAATGTTTACTAGTCTTAGGGGAGTGAATAGGTGAGGTTTGAGTATGATTTTGTGCTCAAAATAGAGCACTTGTGTCCGTTGGTATCACTATTGAAAGAACAATATCGATACTATTCTTCGTGAAAAACAAAAACCAAACATGTTATAAGGGAAATATCGATACACCTTTAAGAAGTATCGATATTCAGGGTCCACTATCGATACTCAAAGGGTTGGTATCGATACTGTGACATTTTTGAAAATATCGAAGCCAAATTTGACATCGATACTCATGGGAGTATCGATACCCAGGGTGTAGTATCGATACTCCCTATAGGAGTATCGATACCAAAGTATTTTTGAAAACATCGAAGCTATTTTTGGTATCGATAAGGGTGAGTATCGATATTGCTGGCCTAGTATTGATACCCATGGTATTTTTGGCCATTTTGGTTCAATTGGTTTGAGTGTTCAGACATGGTAGTTTTGAGTTTGCATAAGCCTTAAGTATTCAATGCAAGTGAAAACAAACAAGTTAACTAAATTCTCACCTAAAAATCAAGCAAGATAGGATAACATAAGATTGTCCTTTGTATGATGCTCAGGAAACGACTAGGACACCTGAGTTACCCTAGCATTATTACGATAATCCTTTGTTTGTTAATGATAATTGTCGTTTTGCTGTCAAAATAATTCCGACTTCTTAATAATTAGAAAGGAAAAGTAGTATAGAGAAGCAGGGTCGATCCACAGGGACTATGGTGTTTCTGATTTGGTGAAACACTTTCTTGATTTAGAAGAAGATAGAATTCCATATAAAGATAAGAAGATAGAATAAAATAAAATAAAATAAATAAATAATTATAAAAAGGAAAAATAATAAAATAATAAATAAAAATAATGCTAAAGATAAAAAAGGGGTTTTTTTTTTAATTATTTTAAGAAATAAAAATATAAAGATTCAATAAATAATTAAATAAATAAAATAGATAAGGATAAAGAAAACTTATAGTAAAAGAAGCCTCAGACTTCAACTTTACCTCAAATTCCTTGGATCATCGAAACAGATCTTTACTTCAAGATTCACATTGGCTACTTGTCTTCAAGGACAATTCCTTGTGACTATGTTTTGTGTACCAAAAATCCAAGTGCACTCTTAAATTTCGGTTTGTGAGTTTATCTAAGCAACAACAATGTTGTAGATCTTAAAACGTTGAAGTTCAAAAAAGTTGCCGACTCGAATTATGTTGTTTCAACAACAACTGATTCCGATCTCAGTTTCCTCTTATCAAACAATTTTGCTAAGTGTGTTCACAGGAAGTCGAATCTGCTTCAATAAGCCAATCCTTCTTCCAACGTTAATCATAACAACATCCAGACCAACGTCGACAT